TGGTATTTTATAATTGTATGACTTAGCTGTTCTGATTTGAATCTATTTGTTTAACCCTCCCACTGTCTTTAGGGGTGACCCCGCAAGGAAAGTTGACCGTTGAGCAGAGTTGATGTTTATCCCTTGGGTCCATGTGGCAGGGGTGAGGAGTGAGCACCACCTCACCCCAGCCACGTGGAGGATCATTCCAAAGTCGGGGCACAACAGTCTGGAAGGAGCGATCACCTCGACTTTTATATCTCGACTTTGGAACTTCTAGAAGGTTCTGGTGGGTGGACCTGAGGGCTCGGGTTGGAGAATAAGGCGTTAACAGTTCAGTAGTATAAGGAAAAGCTTGACCATGTAGAGCCCTGAAAGTTAGTCAAGATTCTAAAATGAACTCTAAAGTTAACGGGTAACCAGTGCAGAGACATTAGAATAGGAGTGATGTGTGCTCTTCTGTTTGCTCCAGTTAGGCGACTCGCTACAGAGTTCTGGACCAACTGAAGGCGGTCAAGGGCTTTTTTGTTAAAACATGTGAAGAGTGTGTTACAGTAATCTAGACGGGGGGAGATAAAGGCATGGAGAACCATTTCAAGTATGAACTTGAATAACATAATAAACATCATAAACATCTCTTCATGTGATCTGCACCTCTAAACTCTCATTTCTTATCTTTTCCGTCCACAAATAAAACGCTTGCTGCATATATTCGTCAGAGCCGGATTAACGCAAAGGCAAAGTAGGCACGTGCCTTGGGCCTGATTGGCTAGATGGGGCCCAGACAGAGGGACAAAATAAAAAATAAAATGTACAAATGTCCTATGATAGTGTAGCGGGCCAGGGCTGTTCGGGGTTTGTTCTGTTATCACAGTTCTGTTATCCCCAGTGAGTCGTGGAGGATGGCTGCTTATACTGAGCCAGGATTCTCTGGAGGTTTCTTCCTGTTAAAAGGGAGTTTTCCTCTCCACTGTCGCTGCATGCTTGCTTAGTATGAGGATTGCTGTATAGTCACTGACACTAGTCAGTGACTTGATGCAATTTGCTGGGTTCCTTATATAGGAAACATTATTTCTGATTGGCTTAATGAGCTGTGAATTGGAATGTTTATTATGTGAAGTGCCTTGAGACGACTCTTGTCGTGATTTGGCGCTATATAAATAAACTTGAATTGAATTGAATTGAGTTATGTGTTTGTTGTCATGTTGCTATGGTGACGGGTAACGCGCTCTCTCGGCGACTGTTTTTCCGGTGAGAGCGCGCCTTTTTGGGTTGTTGTTGCTGTGGCCGCGCTGAGGTGTGTAAGATTAAACGGGTGCTCCCAAAGAAACCTCTGTCTCCTCCGTGACTGAGCTCGCCACAATAGAATTTGTAGATAGTACTCCTATCTACAGTTTATTTCAATATTAATTAATTAATTAATTAATTAATTAATTAATTAAAAATAGTGACAATATTTATCTTAACCATAGACTGTTACATTAGCTACGTCACATTAACATTTACAGACGTTTCTGTCGGGCAATTCGGGCAGCCGCCCGACAGCTGCGAATCTGCTCGAGTCAGCAGAGCCAGAGGTCGGGCCCGAGCAAGACCTGTTGTTTATCTTTGTACTCCTTTAGTCACGGGTGAATAGACGTTCATATTTTCAGAATTTTTCCACGAGGGTTTCTTTAGGCAAGGCAAGGCAGCTTTATTTGTATAGCACCTTACAACAGTATAAAACCGACCAAAGTGCTTAACAGAAATTAAAAACATAAAAACTAAAAACTAAAGCTTAAGAACTAACACTAAAAACACTAAAAAGACTCTCATGCTGAGTTAAAAGCCAAATCATAAAAATGGGTTTTCAAAAGAGATTTAAAACTAGACAGAGAAGAGGCCGACCTAATGCTCAAAAGCAGCTCATCCCAGAGCCTAGGGGCCACTACAGAGAAAGCCCTGTCACCTCTGAGCTTCCGTCTTGTTTTTGGGACTTCCAGGAGCATCTTATCAGCCGACCTCAGAGATCGTGCAGGGGAGTAAAAAACCAGCAGCTCAAAGAGGTAATCTGGAGCAAGGCCTTGCAAAGACTTAAAAGCCCATAAAAGCACCTTGTACTGGATTCTAACACAAACAGACAGCCAGTGCAGCGAGGCCAGGACAGGAGTAACATGCTCCATCTTTCTGGTCCCAGTGAGCAACCGTGCAGTAGCATTCTGCACCAACTGAAGACGCGAGAAGTGGGCTTGTGAAACACCAAGGTACAAAGAATTACAATAATTAAGCCTTGATGCAATAAAACCCTGAATTAATGTTTCTGAATCATTTTTAGACAGCAAGTTATTTACTTTGGCATTCCTTCTTAATTGATAAAAACTAGATTTAGTCACTGCACTGATCTGCCTGTCCATGTCACGTTCAGGATGGGGGAGGTGGAAACCAAAATGCAGAACCCAGAACGACTCAAGGCAGGAGAAGTCTTCAGAAATAAATCCTTTGTTTTAAAGGAGGATGTGCCAAAGTCCAAAAGCACTAAAAAAATGAACCAAACTTAATCTTACTGAATGAACCAAATCAAACAGAAACTCATTCATGAGCACAGACTAGGAAGACACGAGGACAGAAACACGCTGACGAATGCAATAAACCAACAAACACAGAGTGACAAGACAAGGCTTTTAAACACAGAGGGAGGTAATCAGGGAAACAGGTGGCAGGTGTGAGGAGTGTGAGCTGAGGAGAAACTGGTGGAATCAATTAACTAAATGGGAAGGGAAAGAGCTTGGCAGGAGGGCAGATAAACATTAACCTATAAAACATAAAACCTAAAAGACAGAGGGCAAATATAAACCACTAATAACCAGATGGGTGAGGAGAACTAATCTAAAGACAACTAGGAAAACCAGGGAGTGACTAGGAGGACACAAGAGGAGAGCCTGGAGTGGGAACAGGAGGGGGCTGGGGAGCAAAGGGACACAGAGCATGACAGTCCAAGACAAGATCCCCATCCAGCACAACACCCAGAGAAGTGGGAGACTGAATCTGAGCTCTTAATGTGTTCAGTGTCTGCCGCTAAATATCTTTTGACTTTTTGAACTGGCAAAAATGGTGCTGTTGATGAATTTACAGGAAGCAGCATCCTGACCAATCACAAGCTTGAAGTGTCTATCACTTTCGACAGATTGTTAAAAAATGGGGCATGTCTGTCAGTCTGAGAGCTCATGCGCCATTGCGTAATGGTGTTGTGTGTCTCCGTCCCAACGCAGACAGAGTACTATACATTAGGCTTACGGGAGAGCCCAGACACCCAGTGGAAAATCATTTTGGCCGCTTGTATCCGCAGTCTCAATCTTTAGGTTTCTACCCAAAGCTTGTGATCATAGATGAGAACAGGAGTGTAGATCGACTGGTAAATGGAGACCGTAGCCTTCTGGCTCAGCTTTCTCTTCACCATGACAGATCAGTACAACGCCCACATTACTGCAGACACAGCACCAATCTGCCTGTGTATCTTGTGCTGCAGCTTTCCCTCACTCGTGAACAAGACTCCAAGATACTTAAACTCCTCCACTTGAGGCAGAACCTCGTCCTTCTCTGACTTGAGACCATAAACCATGGACTCAGAGGAGCTGAATTAGAATAATAGTTACTGGTTAAGATAATGGTGTTACAATGACGAGTTACTACCCATCACTAATAATGAAATGGAGTCTAAACTACCTCAGGTGCTAGAGTGTTGTAGCCTGGCAAGCCAGACTAAATAAATGTATTATTTAGTCTGCCAACGCTCCATTGACGGCTCTTGGTTGTGGGGCGGGTTCTACCGTTGTCTTTCAAATGATCTCCGCATGCTACTGGACAATGAATGTGGCATAGGCCGTGTTCGAGTTGAGCAGCGCCTCGCCTGGAAAACAGACGAGAGCAGGCGGAAGCAGCAGGGGGAGTGGCTGAAAGCCGGCATTTAAGTTGGACAGATTTCCCTACATGTGTAGCTCAGGGGTGACGATGGCTGAATATATCACGTTAAGAGTTCATACTTGTTTAATTATTTATTTTAATTCTGGTGCCTGTTAGCAGCTGAAACACATCCTCACGTGCTTGTGGATATCATATATTGTATATGGAGACCTGACTGTAATAATAAGTAAAGGTTATCAGCTGTAGCTTCAGTGTGCTCATAGGAAACGTGACAACAGAACACAAATCACATTTCTCTTTATGGCCTATATAGTTGTCATCATCAAAGTAACATGATATACAGAATACATGTGACCAACTAACATTTCATGTTCTACCACCGGATGTTTGGATCAAAATATGAATCAATCAGATCTTAGATCAGGTGAGAGCCAGGCGTTTCCCGTCATCCCCTAGGTTTTGCAGCCGGTGGAGAGCAACTGCAGCGTCTTGCTCCAAAATCTGCGGCCGCCTTGATCTCACGAGGTTATTTTTGCCTATGTAGGCATGACATCAGAGCAAGTCTGCGTCGTCTGACACAAATCTAACTGGCATGCACTGCTTGCCGATCACCGCTGGTCTGCGCAGAACTGGCTCATCTTGAACACAGCCCTACTCTTGTTTCACTCTGTTGCATCATCCCACCCTCCAGGCATATAGAGTGCCCTGATTGGCCCACAAAGCGGATAAAGCTCTGTGGTTTGTTCACTAAGCAGATAGAGCGCTATGATGGCCCACCATTATGGACCAATCACAGCTCTTTATGTGTTTGAAACCCCTCTAGAGAGCTGTGATTGGCCAGCCAGAATGCTGTTGGGGCTGCAGAGGTTCCAGTGGAGCATTCCTAGACCAAACTTTGCAAAGCAAGAATTTGGTCTAGTTCACTAGGCTAAGAGTGTTGTGCATGACAATGTGTCCTGCACCTTGAGGAAGATCAAAAGGTAGTGAGTGCATAAACAAGTTGGATCTTAGAACATTTCTGAATAGATTCTGAAGGTAGCAAATGCAGCTACTGCCTGAAGTTCACACACATATGGCTGACCACAACCTGCATTTCTGATTGTGTTTATTCTTTCTTCTAGTGCCGTCAGAGATGCCTGGTGGGTTTTCCACCCAAGGCTGGTTGATAGGTCTCATTAGTGCCATACTGCTGCTGATATTGATACTGCTCATTCTCTGTCTCATTAAAAGCAGACGGGGTGGAAAATATTCAGGTACAAATATGGATTATCCAGCATAGAAACTTGTGATTTAGAAGATTACTGATGTACAATGCTTTATTTCCCACAGTGAAAGAAAAAGAAAAGACTGAGTTGGGTTCTGAAGTGTGTCCAGTGAAAGAGGAGCTCTACAGGTGGGTCAGCTCAAGCAAAAATCATTCTATATATGGTATATTTCTCAACTGAACATTCATATCTGTAATATTAATAATTCAAAGTTATGAATATTAATTTTATTATTATGATTGGAAATCCAAAATTGCAACTGATCAGTATTGTATGTAGAGCTGAAACAACTAATCGATTTAATCGATTATTAAAATAGTTAACAACATTTTTAGTCATCGATTAGTTGTTTAATAATAACATTTTACCGCATAAAGTCTATTTTTACCACAATCTGACATCGGTTACAATCTGTTAAATTTGCCGCCAGTGTGTGGCAGTAATGAGCCACTGATCTACCAGTGGAGCCGTAGAAGAAGAAACGAGCCAATAAGTGCCCTCGGTTTTCATGACGTAACACGTTACTGACGCGCATCTTGCTGTGAGAGATGGCGGAACAAGAAGAAATACGGAAGAAAAATAGAAGCGACAATACTGAAGAGAAACCCCGGACAAAAACCTCACGAGTATGGGAGCACTTCACTCTAGATGAAAAGACGGGTGACCTGCAAAATATGCAAAAACCATCTAGCATGGCACGGAAGCACGACGTCCCTAAGTGAACATTTGAGACGAAAACGTGGGGGCAAATGCAGCAGAGGAAACAACTACCCCTGACTGCATCCCGGAGATCAGGGCGGGGCTAAATGTGGGCGGGGTCAAATGTTTAGAGGTAGGCGGAGACAACAATTTGACTCCTGCGTCCTGCCCCTCTCTCAATGGAACCAGGAAACCGCTATGCTGCTATGTGTGTGTGCAATGCTGTAGCCGGGACAGAAGGAAGTAGCTGCCAAAATGGAGGTAAGCCAGGAATTTTCTTTCTCTATTTTAACAATATCGAGGACCAATGTTGGGCGAACGTTTTATAAACGTGGAAATTAAAGGTTTTTTTTCCCATTATGAGTTTTAGATGACACATATAGCCTATTTTACACATGCGGGGCGACTTACTTTTGAGGAGAAATGTTTACAGGGTTCCCGCGGAGTCTTAAAAGCATTGAATTTATGAATTTGAAAGTAATACCTTTAAAAGACTGGAGAAACCCTTCAATTTTGGCATCTGGGTCTTAAAATTTGTGTTGGATGTAAGTTTTCTCTACTGCATTTTTCTTCTGAAGTTCATCAAAATATTCCAAACAAGTGATGACATGAAGAGAAGCACTAGTATTAATAAAGGCCATTTTTAGACATTTATTTCAATTTTGTGTCTTTACTGTTTGCACTGTTGCTTTTATACAATAGAAATACTGCAAGAAATTAGGGTAATAAAATTAACAATAATAGAAAAAACGTCTTAAAATTAAAATAAAATATAGGCAACAAAAATGATTGTTAAGGTTCTAATGTCAAACCAGATCGGTTATATTTTTAACCATTTGTTTAAAAATATAACCGATCTTCTACCAAGTGCCCACCCAGTGTTTTGTCAAAATATATTGGTAAAGATGTATAGATAGATAAATGAAAACTAGTTCAATAATTTTATTTTATTTATTTACTTTTTTGCTGATAGTGCCGTGAAATAGGTATTAATTTTCTATATGGCTTTAGAAAGATCTTAAACAGACTTAAATTTAAGTTGAAGAAACCTGTAGGAACACTTTTATAGCTTTGGGGAGATATGTTGTGTGGTCATGATTACTTTTTGGTGGAAAATATATTTTACATGGGGAAATATGTTAGTTTTTTAAGCTTTTTATGTTCGTATCTGAGTTCTACACCTGATGGGCTTTATTATTATGGTTAGAGTGCTAATCTGATATGTGTAATTATATAAACGTTTTGCTCAGTCAAGTGTCAACAGAATAACATGAATGTTTTCATAGTGAATGAATGTTGTCATTGTATCACCAAGGTCTGAGGAAGACAGAGTGCAGGCACGAAAAAGACGGAGAGAGGAAAGAGTAAAACAGGTGAGAGACAATTTGATTATTTCTTGTAGTTTAACTGTTGCTTGCAGACTGAAGCATAGTTCCTTCACTTATTTCAGGGCCTGGAAGTGGTCCCGCCTAAGAAGTCCTGCCATACTGAATGAGTCTGTGCAGCATCAGGTATTGTTCAAACAAGTATTATTGTACACAACCCCCAAGGTTGTCGAAATGGGATGTGGGAAGATTCAAGATTCAACCTTTTGTCATATGCACAGCTAGAAAAACACGCTTTCTGCACAATGAAATTCTTACTTTGCCAAGATTAGAAAATTAAGACTGTTCCAGACAGAGCACTTTTTTTTCAAAGCAAGTTTTTCAGTCATTTCTCTATTTTCATTAAACCAGAATACTAAGCAACTGATCTTTTTTACAACTTGCACTGTTAATATGCTTTTTATGAACCACAATCTTTTTCCTTTCTAGCAGAGGCTGAGAACTTGCTGGAACTGGACACAGGGAACAGAGTACGTTTTATATTGTCGGCTTTTCTTGTGTCATTGTTTCTTCTCCAACCTCTATTTTAATTAGAGGTGTCAAATAATTCCATTACTTGCAAATAATTTTTTACAGCCATGATTAACATGTTATATATTTTAATTATGTTAATGATTTTTAATCTACTGCTTCTTTATGGGACTTTTAAATAAACCAATTTCTTTTCTTTTACGCTTCTTGCTGGTGTTCTTGAAGGGTTGATGTAAACTCATAAGTTGAAGGGTTGACGTTACAGTGACAAGACCGGTGAGAGATTAGCTGCAGCAGTGTTTATTTCAGCGACCTTGTTATCTTTACTCCGTTTTTTTCACCCTTCTTGCAACTTTTTCCAAAGTTATTGTTACCATTTGGATGTAATGGGTGTGTCACTGAGCATCAAGGCTGCTGACAGCATCTCTCCTGTATCAGACGCACCTCCGTGCTGCAGTTTGGAAAGACCACAGCATCAGCTGTTTGGCTAGCTGTTAGCATTGAAAATAAGGCTTATATTATGTACAGTTATTAGATTAAATTAAAAGATTAGATTACTTACAGATCATACATAATTAATGTAAAATATGTTTTTAATCTCTTGACAGCAGTAATTTTAATATTGTCTTTATTTTTTATTAGGAGAATTCTCTGCTTGAGGACACCTTTGAGGCAGCAAGGTGGTGTACCACAAGGTCCTTCAAAGGAAACATTTCCCTTCCCCAGGTCATCACCATGGACAGGGAAGCTTGCCGGAGGGCAGTGGAGAGGTTATGCTTCTGTGATGGCCTGGATGAAGAGGAGATGAACGATTGCAGGGAACCGTTCCTGTTCATGTTTAGTTTTCAGTCAGACTATGAGGAGTTCTGCAGAGAAATTGAGGAAAACAGGAAGATGAAGGTGTTTTCTGGTTTTGAAATGCCATAGTACAGCGGTGTCACAGTTTTTGCATTCTTTTTCCTCCTCACGTTGTTTTTTTGGAGGTTCTCTTGTCTTTTGTGTACTTTTTGGTTCGTTTGCTTGTACTTATTTTTTTATTCCTGTGTTGGCTGTTTGCTCTATTAAATTTACCTTTTTTGAAAAATTTAGTCTGCATTCTTGGGTGTCTCACACAATGTCTCACCACCCTGCCTCAAACCCTGGCATGTTTTAAGAAGTATCAGCACAATTTAAGTCTCTGGTCCTCTTAATGTAGCTGATATAACGGAGTGTACAACAAATTTACCCGTGTCTGTCTGTACTGTTTTACACTCACTTGGGAAATGACTATTAAAATAAAGGCAGCATTGATAAAATCAATTATTAAAATGGTTTTGACAGGTTTAAAGAATAGTCTATCAAATGCCTGAACCTTTTATGTAGGTAACAAAAGTATAGCTAAAAGACACAAATACCTATGTGCTATAAATACACATACCATACAAAAGTAGAAGAAAGAATAAAAATATCAGAACAGATTGGATCAAAAAAGGCACCTGTAATTATCTGCTCTTTAAAATTATCATGACATCCAGCAAACAAGCCATTTGATTACCAATGTTATGCTTTACATGGGTTTTGTGGGTTTTTAGGGCTTTCAAATCCTTAGAAGGGGCTACTCGCGGTTTCCTGGTTCCATTGAGAGAGGGGCAGGAGTCAATAGTTGTCTCCACCCACCTCTAAACGTTTAACCCCGCCCACATTTATCCCCGCCCCGATCTCCGGGATGCAGCCAGGGGCTACTCAGAGGAAACGCCAGCCCGGTAAGTAACAGAAAATAAACAAGCTAAATATAGTGGTCCATCACTACACGCAGATCAAATTTGGGACTTAGTGTTTTAGCTGAGTTCATTATAGTCAATGTTAAACATGTTTTTTGCCGCGTCAGTCTACGGTGTTCTATTTCTGATTGACTAAATGCAATCGTGAATCTCCTCCGTGTTGTGAATCATGCGCTTGCCAAATTTAGCACATCTGCCGACCCCTGAGCTGGGGCATGTGCGGAGGACGGACACACACACACACACACACACACACACACACACACACACACACACACACACACACACACAAGCAAAATATACTTGTTTTCAATTACGTTTATTGGGCCCACTTACATTTTCTTAGGCCCACCCACAAATGAGTTTCTGACTACGCTAATGGTGACTTTTGACAGACTTCTCTGAGCTCCGCAGCCATTACACTTTTCACCTCGCGCACCCCCTAGCGGCAGCTCCACACTTTGGGAATCCCTGCTCTAAAGACTTGATGATTTCCTCTAACTCCTGAACACGTTTGTTTTCTGTTTTTTTCCTATGTGATGAGAAAGAGATTATTTTACCTCTCATCACTGCCTTTCCTGCCTCCCAAAGAATAGGTGCTGATGTTCCAGGCAGGTCATTATGTTCTAAATATAAAGCCAACTCCTTTTAAAAAAAATCAATAAAACCTTCGTCTTTAAGCAGTGATGTATTAAACCTCCAGTTTTTGCTTGGTGGGATTGTCTTCTTATTTACCAGAGTTAATGGAAACCGGAGCATGGTCGCTGACAGCTATGGGGTGTATCTCAGTGTCTGAAATGTCAGCCAACAATG